TATATATATATATAAGAGTCGAGCATTCATTGCATTCTCTCCATATTTCATTCACCTCATCCCCATTTCATCTCTGGGTAAAATTCTGGGTTCTTTGATATTTAACTATCTTCCACTACGATTATATGAAGCCTGGTCATCTTCATATCATCTGGTTGAAGATATTTAAATAGGAGCAGCTGTTGTACCCTAAATTTTACCTCGAGTTTCTCACCCGCGTTGTCTAAAATCAACAAAAATAACTTTCTTTTAATTCGTTATATCTTGTGCGCATTTGAATCATTTTTATCTCGATTTTGATCTTTACCCAATCTTATTTTAGATTTTAATCTTTTTTTAATTCTTTATTTTTATTATTAAGAAAATACAAAAAAATGTGTGTTTCTCTTTGGTTTCTTTTTCATGTAGAATTTTGTTATTTTAGTTTTAATATAAAAAAAATACATCATAAAATATTTTTTGTTTTAATAATTTTTAGTTTCATCATTTTTATTATTGCTAGTTTTATTTTAATTTTTAAATAACTATCTCACAAAAATATCTAGCAATAAGGGCTTCTTTGTCTTTAATCATAACATAAAGAGAGGAAGGTTTGGTGTGTTGATAGAAAAGAAAAAAAGTTGCGCAAGTGTTAGGGAGAGGGTAAAAAACGAATATTAGGTCAAAAAATCAAAAAAAGGAAAGAAAAAGAGAAAATACTCTCTATTAACTCACAACCATCATCTTCCAAATCTCTCTTCCGTCGGTTAACCTCATATCTACCTCCATTTGCTATCGATCCATCGTTCCAATCACCTTCATCTAACCTCCATCTTCAATTTTCCTTCAATCTCCTCTCCCAATTTCCGCGTTCTCCTTCAATAGCTTCACCATCACACCAATTCCTCTTCATCGCAATCTTCACCCATCAACACTACTCCCCCCGCCTTGCCTTCAACTCCTCCGCGAGCTCCCTTCTTCATAGCACAAACTCCATTCATCATCATCTGCTATCCGTCTGATAACTCCCACCATCCCAATATCCAACTTCCTTCTATACATCCATCACCATTATCTAACACCAACAACAACTTGTTGCTTCCGCACCATATCTCCAAGCTTATTCCATCTTTCATCCGTAAACCCAATCAGCTTTGTTCCTTCCCAACTGCTTCATCCGACAGTACAACCCTTCAACGTTGCTTTTAACTTCAACAGTTTTTATGCCCTTCTCCATATTAGAACACTATTTCATACCTTCAATTTTCGAAGCAGATCAACCCACTTTTCTTCAACACTAACTCGTTGCAGCCTTCAACAATATAACTCAGTATCAACTCATTGGGTAAATCTTTCAAACTGAATTTTCTTTTATGCTTACTGTGGATATGTTATATGTGTGCGTTCAGATTTGATGATGTCGATACTGTGTTTTGTGTGCCAAAAATTGATGTTAGTTTGAATAGATGATGTTTAATAGAGTTTTACATCGATGATGTTGTTTGTTCGTTATGATAAATAATGTTGTAATTTTGATTGTTGTTGTGTTGAGTTGAAATTAATTATGATAACATTGGTTTTAGATTGGAATAAGGTTTTGTCTTGAAGCATGATTTTTGTTAGTAAGTTTGTGAGTTCCTAATGCGAATTTTATTGAGTTTTACAATTCTAAAGTTGGTGTTTGATTCTTGTTTGCAAGTATTAGAATTGAATGATGAAGCTTTGAGATAGTTGTTGAAGTGGGTATCAGATTTGCGGTTTTGTTTATGTTAATTTGTTGGTGAAATGGTGATGTGTTTGTCTTATCTTGAGTTAATTTGAAAGAGATTTAGGGTGATATTATAGTTCATTTGAGTTTTAAGTTTGAGAGATTAGTGGTTGTGGTATCAATGATGTTTCCACTAGTGTTCGATTCATGTGAGATGATTTTATGTAGCATTTTTAGATTCACATAGTTGCTGCCCGGAACTTGGTCCAGTTGATTATATCTCACTTTGAATTGGTTTATCATATTTTTGAAGTGAAATTGAACAATATCATGAGTTTTTTGATTCACGGTTACGTTTGTGAATTAATAACCATGTTTACCGTTGTGTTATTTCAATTTTGAACATGTTTGGAATGATAAACACCATGCTGATTTTTGCTTGAGAAATGTTCATTTATTCATGCCATTTAGTTTAAGTTTCATTTGTTTTCAATTCTCTCGTGATTACTGTGATACAGTGGTATAACCGACTGTTATACTGATTTTGCGTTTGTGTTCGCAGATGTTGCGGTAAGTAAGAGTTACCACCGATTTTTCTTTTATCCAACAAAGGAAATGGTGAAAAGAACAGAAAAAGACCTTTCGAGATTATTTCTGAGTAAGGGGGTAGATTATAGAAAGAGAAGGTGTTAGCACATTTTCCATCCGTAGTTTTCTATGGACTCTTAGATGCTTAGCTCATTTTTAAAATACCTTGTGCTTTGTGTTTTTGAAAAGTGTTTTGAAATACCTTAGTACGGCGATTCACTTTGTGATAACTCTTGTATCAGTCCTCAAGAGTGTTGACAAAGAAAATGTTTTTGAAAGTTGTTTTTGAAATGTGTAAGTGTGAAAAGTTTGTTTTGAATATATCATCTAAGAACTATCTACTTATACTCAAAAAGTTCGTTCTTTTCCTCCTATCCTTTAGACAGTGCTATCCTATTATTAATGAGTAGGTAGCCCTATCGTTGGATGTATGAGGGAAAATCGAAGGGACGTTACAGTCACGAAGGCAACTTGGTAAGAAGCCTTAGTAACTACCCTAAAGTTCTGAGATCACTTTTATCCGAGGCAACACCGAGAGGGTCATCGAGAGACTAATGATCTTTAAACTAGAGGATAGTCACTAAAACTTTTCACATTTCGAGAATTGTGACTGTTTTTCGAAGGCAACCGAAGTGGGGTACCCTAGAGGTGCACATGTGTAAGTGATTCAATTCAGTTTATTTATATTTGTTATTAGGTTTGCTATCGCTTTATTATTAGTCTTTCCATACAAACCTAGTTACTAGCAGATAATATGTACAGAAAAATGTAAAGTGCGAAAATATAACCCTACGCTATTACATGGCTTCGGGGAGGGGATATTTACATGTCTAAATGGGGGAAAGAAAATAAAGAAAGCGATAAAGATAAATCCTAAATTAAGCTATTACATTTCAACAGCAGATATATAATATATAAAAATGCGAATTTAAAACAAACGCGTGCGAAAACGGAAAGAAACGTCTAACAACCTAAAAAAGTCTAAATAAAGAAAAAAAATCTTTTTGTTTTGTTTATCTTAAGAAAATAATTAAAATTAAGTTAAATGAGAAAGACTAAATTTAATCTTAATTAATTAAATAATTAAAAGAAAATTAAATCTAATATTTTTTTATATTTTTATAAAGAAAATATTTGAATTAAAACCTATATCTAATAGATTTTAAATTAATTAAAACAAGTCAAAATAATTAAGTAAATTAAATTATGAAAATTAAATTAATTTTAGAAGAAAAAAAACCTAAGGATAATTGTTATTATGATTTTTATTTTATGTTATTAAAAAAGATTAAATGAAAAAAATAAAATAAATATAATAATAAAAAAACAAAATATATTGGGCTTGGCTTTGAAGCAAAATATTTAGAAATAGACTTTTAATCTTTTTTATGCAAAGATTTAAGCTCACATCTTAGAGTTTTGAGACATAGCCTCCGTACTTTGTCTTTACCTTTGAAAGATGTTTAGATCTTCTCTCACACGCCTCTTTAGTAGATGTTGTATTTGAGATTTTCTCGAACCCATTTTCATCCATGGTAGATGAGGAAAAGAGTTTTCTTGACTTTCTTTCTTGAATCCTTTAATATATATATATATATATATATATATATATATATATATATATATATATATATATATATATATATATATATATATATATATATATATATATTTTGTTTTTAAGTTAAAGAATCCTCATCTTGTGACTCCTTATATCCCTTTTCATCAATCTCTCATTTTCTAAAAAGAGCTTTGATTTTGATACATCAATTATATATCATAATTACTTTTTTTTTAGAAGTAGAACTTAGAAGGATGTTGCTTAATTGTTCGCCATGATCACAAGGAAGTACTTATCAAAACTTAAACTTTTATGCCACTGTTAAAAAAAATAAAAAGACTATATTAAAATTGGGAGAATGATAATTTTTATTTTGAAAGAATATTTTCCAAGTTTGTTTACTTACTTCTACTTGCTTTGTTGATATATTTTATTTATTTACTTTGTAATTTTCATATAATTCAATTAGAAGATTAATTATGACATCAAATAACTAATTATTTCCCAATTATAATTGCAGAACATCAAACCATAATATTTCTTATATCTTTTACTAACTTAGTTTACAAACGATAAAATCTCCTTACTTATAAGATTTATGAGAGAATTCTACACACATTTATAAATTATTTTAAATATTTCATGAGAGAAAATTCTACAAACCTTTCTCTACTAAATACATTTATTATTATACCACTACCAATAAATTTTTAGATCTTTCTAAAAAGGTTTCTTTGAACTATACTACTAAAACCAACAAATATAGATCTAACACTTCATTAGTCCAATACTTATATTTGCAATGGTGTAGGGTCATTTACTTACTGCTACAGTCGGTGATGAAGGTGTAGAAAAGAAAAGAAGGTAACCGAATGTTTAGTTGTAGAGAAAAAACTCTGTTTTTATTAAATTACTTTTAACACGTGCCATGCTGCATGCATTTTGCTGCTTCGTTTGCCACATCTACTTCCAAACATGGAACAACCATCTTTCCCTCGCATGACATGTGTAAAATCTCCATTCATCTCTTACTTAGTATCCATTCATTTCTCCTATATATAAAGTTATAGTTCCCAATCCAATGCATATTAAGTAACCCCAGATTAAAGTTATTACTTATACGGAAAAAAACTCGAATAAGGAAAATCTATCGTAATCAGAATCATGAGTCAAGAACAACCACAGAGACCACGAGCAGATCAATTCCCCGAGCAACAACCTATCAAATATGGCGACGTTTTCAACGTCTCCGGAGAATTAGCATCACAACCAATCAAGCCAAGGGACGCAGCTCTCATGCAGGCAACCGAGAATCAAACCTTAGGACAAACCCAAAGAGGAAGTCCCGCTTCTGTCATGCAATCAGCAGCTGCGGTAAACACCGCAACTGGTCTTGTCCACCGCCACGACATCTCAGACATAGCCAAAAACCAAGGCGTGAGTATCTCCGAAACCAAAGTGGGTGGAAACCGCGTGATCACTGAGTCGGTGGGGTCACAAGTTGTAGGACAGTTCGTTGAACCTGATGTGCCAATGAATGATCCTGGTTTGGTTTTGGACAAGGATGCTATAACCATTGGAGAGGCGCTGGAAGCTTCTGCTTTAACTCCAGCTGGTGATAAGCCGTTGGATCAGAGCGATGCTGCTGCTATACAAGCGGCGGAAATGAGAGCCACCGGAAAGAATCAAACTGAGCCGGGTGGGTTGGGCGCCATTGCTCAGTCAGCTGCAACTCGGAATACTCGTACTATGCCTGATCTGCAGAAAACAACATTGGCTGATGTCGTAACGGTAACTTGTCTTATCTAATATTACGTTATGGAATTCAATAATGCACTCGCTAGATTATGCTATATGACTGACATATATGGTTATGTTTAATGATTTGAATGGAGGGTGCAAGGGAGAAGCTGGGAGCAGACAAGGCTGTAACACGCGAGGATGCGGAAGGAGTGATTGGAGCTGAGCTTAGAAACAAAGCTGACATGAGAACTACATCGGGCGGTGTGGCTGCGACCATGGCAGCAGCGGCCACACTCAATCAGAACAAGTTAGAGTTTCTAATATTATTGTTGTATTTGTTCAATTTTTATCATGTAATGGCTTAAGGTAGCAATTATGTGCAGGATGATCGGCTGATATGCTGTGGAGATGGAGATACCAAGTTATTAACGGCGAAGATCAATCATGGTGTCTAAACAAATCAATGAAGACTGAGTTCTAGAGTCTTGTGTTGTTTATAAAACTACCAGTGTCACTCTTTTATTTGAAAAGAAAGCTACCTTTCCTTTTGTAGTGTTATTTTTTTTTGTAAGGAACAGTTTATTCTACTATCTACATATTTCGCATGTGTTTACTTGGGTCAATCTTCTTAGTTTATGTACATATTCAAAATATTAATTCCGAATGGAACATGGACTCTTGAATGGATCACACTTGTAATTGGAATTCACCTACCTATAGTCAGTCAACCCTACTCTTTAATGGATCACACTTGTGATTGGAATTCATCTTAGTCATCAATTCGACTTTTTAATGGCTGTAACAGTTGCCGTAGTAATAAATTCAATGTTATTTGAACACTTTCATGTATGGTGACAACGGCTATTCGTTTGTCTTTTTAACAAGAATATTTGATGTCTAGTGTGGGATCTTGGTAACACTGTCTTAGATCAAACCTCAAATCATTCATTAGAATGTCAACTAACAGAGACCCCCGGACATGGAACAGATATTTGCCATGGTAGACAATGTAACTGACTTGTAGCAAAGAATTCAAGGGAATGAACACCTGAAAAATGAGTTTCTAAAGCCCCAGTCGTTTAAAACTGACGTTCATAAGTACGTTATTGGTGTTAATAATCAAATGGCAATAATAGGCCTCATTAATTCGCTGAAGTGCAAATTCATGGCAGACACCTTCAAAGACGTACCTCTAAGATAATATATGAATATTTCTCGATTATTCGTGGAGAGTGATGGCTGAAGATTTTGATGATATTATTAGAAGCAAAGTAAATTGGACGTTTCGATTGAAATGAAACAAAACGTCATGTTTCGAAATGGTAGAAGCAGTGCTTCGAAATGGTAGAAGCAGTGCTTCGAATGGGTATATCAAAGTTTGAAGCTTCGAGTGACAAGTTATGAGAATATATTCAAAGAAGTCTCGAAATGACAACAAGGCTGTGTCTAAGAAGTGCGTTCGAAGCGAATAAGTGCCAAAACATTTGAAATTCAAATGCAAGCGGGATGTTCGAAATTTGAAATATATGCGCTGGAGCATTCGAAGACACGTGGAAGCAAGAGAGAGGCATTGCTCTGCATGTTCTGAACGTGGCAGAATCTTATAGCGAGACCGTTATGGTCGAAGTAGTATAAATAGAAGTCTTAGCATTAGGATTTCGTGTGTCATATCTATTGTACAAGAAAACTCAGTAAACATTCAAATTACCACATGGCTAGGGAAACGAATGCAAGAGCAATGTACGTATGATAACACCACATGTTTATGATTTAATGAAAACTCTTTATCAATTCCAGTACTTTCCTTTATCTTTATATCAATACCATTTACAAGTTTTTGCATCTAAAGTCTTTTTATTCGAAATCTTTTCACTGATGCCTTACATTTAAATGCTTTCCTTCCATTTCAAATACTTTACATTTCAGAAACTGTTATACATTTCATGCATTTATCTTCAATTTTTTATCCTTCGAACACCTTTTTCACTTAAAGCCATTTTACAGTTTTCTTGCATTAAACGCTTTCTTCACATTTCGAATCTTTTACATTAACTGTTCCTTTTTACGTTTCGAAGTCAGTTACTTGTCTTTTATGCAGTTTTTACATGTCTTTACAATTGACCTTTATTCATGCAATTTAGTTTTGCGCACATTTATTTTGATTACACCTTTAGATCTTTAAGAGAGAAATCGAAATAAGTTAAACACCTACACAACATTCTAAATACCAACCATGAATACCAGTTCGATCATGAGAGTTACCCTAATGGCCAACACGTCCTAGGATCAATCTAGTCGATCCTGCGAGTTACCAGAGAAATTGAATAACAGTCAGTAAGTTTATTCGATAGTTTGGAAGACTAGCGGTTGTTTACCAGAAATCACTGTAAACAAATTGACACACCTGGTGGGACCAATTGTTGGACGTTACGAATTTAGAACAGAAATAAAGATTGTTGAGACGTAACCATTATAAAAAGATCCTCCGAGTGATAAGTTTGTTGTTTTATGAACCTAAGAAGTGGTAAAATAACCAACAACAATCAACCCTTATCCAGAAGAAAACGTTTGAACAAGATGTCTAATTCTGACAATCAACAAGGGGAACAAAATGCCCCACATACAACAGGCACTAATGTATCCGCTTCGATGGGAACGTCTAATGTGATCCCTTCGAATGCACAGTCTGTTGCATCTTCAACCAGTAATATAGCCACTAATGGAGTAAGTGGCATATCAACTAATAGTTCGATCTTAGGAAATACTGGAACCATTGGTTATCCCGGGGGATTTGTTCCACCATCAGGGACACAAACCCATTTCGCCACTCCACTAACTAGACCACCCGGTTTCGATGGTAATAGAACCAGAAATTCCTCGTATGGAATGCCAACATCTTTTATGGCAGGTTTACACAATTCCACATCGAATTCATCACCACAATTAGAGTCTGGGTCTGGGGCGAATCAGTTTATGACAAATAACCAAGGGTCAGTGGGTTATAGCACAATGCCTATTTTAACCACAGAAAACCAGTTGGCTTTTAGGCAATTGATGGATGACAGTAACCATAATATGATAGGGGTATTAGCACAAACTATGCAGGAAATATTTGCCCCAATAGTACAAAATGTTACTGTGACAAACAGAGAAAACGAAGATAACATGAGTCGAATAGCAGATTTCTTTGCTCCTCCAGAGAGGCGTAGGCAGAATCAGGCGGGAGTTCGAGCAAACATGCCTGTTATGGAACAAGTTGCTAATGACCCAACTTATAGACCACCTAGAGAAGAAGTTAACTTGGGGGCAAGGGCACAAAGGCTAGAAGCCCCAATGATCCCAGGCCCACAAAGAGAAATTATGGAACCAGGGGCAAGGGTCGAAAGGCTGGAAGTCCCAGAGTTTCGAGAAGAACAACCTAGCGGGGTTGTCATGGTGGGTCGAAATCAAGATGCTGATGTTGTCGTTCACAAAATTCGAAACGATAACATCTTGGCAGAAAACAATTTAACCACCATGATAGAGAGATTCATGGCCCAGAATGGCCTTAACACAGGAATTAGAAGGCCAAATTATGCTTCTACTATATTAGATTGCATAATGCATACTGATTTACCAAGGGGATATAAAGTCCCTAAATTTACAAAGTTCGCTGGGGATACCAATGAGTCAACAGTCGAACATATAGCCAGATATCTAACCGAAGCGGGAGATATAGCCAATAATGAAGACCTCAGGATCAAATATTTCCCAAGTTCCCTGACTAAAAACTCCTTCACATGGTTCACCACTTTGCCTCCTGGGTCCATTGACACTTGGGCTCTTTTGGAAAGATTATTCCATGAACAGTTTTACATGGGACAGTCAAAAATAAGCTTGAAGGAATTAGCCAGTGTCAAGAGAAAGTTCATTGAACCCATAGATGATTATCTGAATAGATTTAGGCTTTTGAAATCCAGATGTTACACAGTGGTGCCTGAACATGAGTTAGTCGAAATGGCCGCTGGTGGCTTGGATTACTCTATTCGAAAGAAACTAGACACTCAATATTTGAGGGACATGGCTCAGTTAGCCGACAGGGTTCGACAGGTCGAAAGGTTAAAGGCCGAAAAGGCCAGAGTCTTTAAAAATAACAAGAAGGAAAGGATCTCCTATGTTGGAACTGAGGAAGCAGAAGATTATCCTGAATTCGAATTCGAAGAGGTCGAAATCGACCTCACTGAATTAAAACAGGCACCACCTTACTCCTGCAAATTATTAGTTCCCACAAAAGGGAAAGAGATTGTTGAAAATGAGAAAAGTGACAAATTCCCAAAGAAGGTTTATACCTTCGATGTCACTAAATGTGACGAGATTTTTGATTTACTTGTCAAAGATGGCCAACTCATTGTGCCATCAAATGTCAAAATACCTCCTTTAGATCAAAGAAAGAAGAGAGGATTTTGCAAATATCATAGTTTCCTAGGCCACAAAACCTCACAGTGTTTTCTTTTCAGGGACCTAATTCAGAATGCAATCAAAGATGGCAGACTGAAGTTTGCTGATAAAGCAAAAATGAAAGTGGACGAAGATCCTTTGGACGTGGCGGACACCAATTAATCCGAGCCTGCATACATTGGAGAGATTAACATGGTGGAAGCTGACCAAAGTGATGCCCCAATAGGAGAGAAAGGTACTGAAAACGAAAGCTGGACGATAGTCGAAGTCGATAAGGGGGTCACTGAAGACGTCCAAAAGCTACCAGAGACTTCGATTGAAGCAACACCTTTAGCTGTTGCAAAAGAAATCCAGGCTACTGAAGGCCAGGAAAATCAAAACCAAGAATTGACACAGGTCACTGAAGGCCTGAGGCTGGAATTGGAGAAAGTCTAAATCACGAAGCCAACTCCCCCTCAGAAAGAAATATGGGACACTTTAGGGGAACCCAGTGGAAAATTTGACTATTTGGTCAAATATTCTGCCCCTGAAAGTTCAAAAGTCCACATCGAAGACATAAAACCCACAGGATGGGGAGATGATGAAGCTAAGGGGGAAGATGTTGAGGTAAACATGGTGGATATGGAGAGGCCTCGCTCTGAGATGGAGGAGGTGGAAAGATACTTAGAAAAAGAGAAGTATAAAATGGAGGATAATCATGTTGGAGATGCTAGTCTCAAGGATTACCTCATGACGTGCCACAAGGGAGATACAGGAATGATACTGTGCCCTAGGTGCAACATCCTCTGCAATCAGAGAATCGCTGCGAACTTCGAGAGGGTACAGAGGGCTCGAACTGGCAACAATTGGCGCCAGGATAACCAGCTATTCAGGTGTTATCCTAAGGCTGGATAAAGTTTGCTGGAATTTGTGTTTCGCTGCTACAAAGGGGCAACCAAGTGCTTGATATGCCCAAGGTG